CACAACAGGGCAAATAACAGATCTCTGGGATGTTCCACCAGAGACTTCCATCTGAATTGTTATAATACCAGTAATCATTGCTATTGGTCTGGCTATTAAAGTAGTCTGAATCTATCTAATTGTACTGTCATCTATCCCATGTCTATGTATCTCTTCCACAAATACAGAGACTTTATTAAATATTTTGCTAAAATTTAGATACATAATATCTATATAATTCTCCTGATCTACCTGTTTAAGAACTCTATCAAAAAAGGAAATATGATTAGTCTGGCATAATATCTATTTTTGTTCAAGAAAATTTTACTGTCTCAATATCTTTTAGTTTTATGTAATTTTCAAATATATCCATATGCACTGAATTATTCTTTTTTAAAAGAGGATAAAAAGGAACTAATCACAAAACAGCTAAACCATCAACCCAATCTTATATTCAATATTTTACATCTATAAGTTTGAACCAACATTTGACACCAAAGGTATTAAACATTTGGTTTGGAAACACATGTAAGTTTAGTCCAAGTCAGATTAAAATGTAATTGGGAAACATTTAACAAAATAGATGAAAATATAATAAAACATAGGTAATAACCATTTTAAAACTAAGTAAATATGTGGCCTGCAGGAATCTTTATGTAGAGATTAGTGGACCTCATTTCTACTTGGGTTTAACATCACTGTCATATACCATATACTGCAATAAACTCAAAATATTTATATGACCAGAATAAAATATCACACCATAAAAGGTAATTTTAAAAAAATGAGATTGGATACCTTCCATAGCTATGCTATGAAGGAACATTCTTAACCAAGCAAGAAATAAAGGCAATAATAATAAAAGATGAAATAATTTCAATTGCATGAAATTAAAAAGATTTTGGATAAATAAAGTCAACGCAACAAGTGTGAAGAAAATCTTTGCATCTACCACCTCTCATTGTCTTGTAGGAAGGGGGGAATTTTAGTAGTTAGACATGGAGTGCATTCCAGACGTAGGAAAGGATGTGAGTAGAAACACTTTGAGGGTTTTTAATAAAATACTAGCAAGTAGATTACAGCAGTATATCACAAAGCTCATACATTATAACCAGGTTGGATTTTTCCCAAAAATTCAGGGCTAGTTCAATATTAGGAAACTTATAGGCACAACTGATCATATCAATTATAAAAACAATAAAAATAATATCATTATATCAATAGATGTTGAAAAACCTTTTGACAAAATATAATGCCCATTGTTACTAAAACACTACAAAGCATAGAAATAAATGGAATTTTTCTTAAAATCATAAATAGTATCTATCAAAAACTAAGAACAAGTGTTATCTCTAAGGATAAATTAGAACTAAACTACAAGCCTTTCCAATTCAATCAAGGATGAACAGAGGGTATCCTTTATCACCATTACTATACAAGATAGTACTAAAAATGCTACCTATTAGCAATAAGACAAGAAAAATAAATTGAAGGAGTAAGAATAGGCAAATAAGAAACAAAATTATCACTTTTTGCAGATGATATGATGATATACTTAGAGAGCCCTAGAGAATCAACTAAAAAACTAGTTAAAACTTTGGCAAAGTTGCAAGATATAAAATGAACCCACACATATCATCAGCATTTCTATATATTACCAACAAAGTCTAGCAGAAAAGATAGAAAGAGAAATTCCCTTTAAAATACTGACAGACAGTATAAAATACTTGGGAGTCTACTTGCCAAAACTCACACAGGAATTGTATGAACACAATTATAAAATATTCTTCACACCAGTAAAGACTGATCTAAACAATTGGAGAAATATTTAATGCTCATGGATGAGCAGAGCCAATATGATAAAAATGACCATACTACCTAAATTGATTTACTTATTTGGTGCCATATGAATCAAGCTACCAAAGAATTATTTTCAGGAACTAGAAAAAAAATAATGACAAAATTCATCTGAAGGAACAAAAGATCAAGAATATTAAGGGGAATCAAAAAAAAAAAAAAGGAAGGAAGGCAGTCTAGTAGTACCAGATCTTAAGCTATACTACAAAGTGGTCATCAGTAAAATCACCTGGTACTGGACACAGAATAGGGTGGTTGATCCAGGGAATGGATTAGGTGTACAATATATGGAAATAAATTACCGCAATAACCTAGTGTTTGATAAACTCAAAGGCCCTAGATATTAGGGTAAGAACTTATTATTTGGCAAAATCTGCTAGGAAAACTAGAAAGCAATCTGACAGAAAGTAGGCATAAATGAACATTTCACACCATATGCCCAGCTAATCTCAAATTGGGTACATGATTTTGGCATAAAGGGTGATATCTTAAGCAAATTAGGGGACCATGGAAAAAGTAACCTGCTAGATCTATGGATAATGGATGAGTTTATGACCAAACAAGAGACAGAGATGATCATATGAGGCACAGTGGATAATTTGATTACATTAAATTAAAAAGATTTTGCACGAATAAAATGAATGGAGCCAATAATAGAAGGAAAGTAGGAAACTAGGGGATTTTTTACATCGTTTTTCTTGAGAAGAGTTTTATTTCTAAAATATAAAGGGAACTGAGACAAATTCATATATATATAAAAATAAGATCCTTTCTCCATTGATAAATGGTCAAAGGCTATAAAAAGGCAATTTTCAAAAGAAGAAATCCAAGCTATCAATAGTCACATAAAAAATGCTCTAGATCACTATTGATTAAAGAAATGTGAATTAGAATAACTCTAATGTAACACCTCACACCCATTGGATTGGCTAATGTGATAGAAAAGGAAAAATGACAAATGCTGGAGAGAATGTTTAAAAATAGATACACTAATGTGTTGTTGGTAGAGCTGTGAACTGGTCCTGTCACTCGTGAGAACAATTTGGGACTATGCCCAAAGGGCTCTAAATCTATGACCCAGAAATACCATTACTAGGTCTCTATAGCCCCAAAAGATTAAAAAGGTGGTGGTGATGGTGATCATATGTACAAAAATATTTATAGTAGCTCTTTTTGTGGTGGAAACTGAAGGTGTACTCATCAAGTGGGGAATGACTGAACAAATTGTGGTACATAATTGTGATGAAATACTTTTGTGTTGTTAGTGTGATGAAGGGGATTGTTTCAGAAAAACTTGGGAAGACTTAGATGAACTGATGCAAAGTGAAATGAGAAGAACTAGAACTTTGTACACAAGAACAACAATATTTTAATGATGACAATGAAAGACTTAGCTACTCTGATCAAGACAATGATCTATGATAGTTCTAAAAGACTCATGATAAAACAAATGCTGTCTACTTCTAGAAAAAGAACTAATCACTGAGTGAAGATTGAAACGTCTTTTTCTTTATTTATTGTTCTTGCTTTTCCCGCCCCCATAATGTATCTAATGTGGAAATGTTTTTCATGACTTCATATGTATAATGGATATTGCATTTTTTGCTTTCTCAATGGATGGAGGAGGGAAGGAGGGAAAGAAAAAATTTGGAACTGAAAATAAAAATTAAAAAGTAAAATAAGAAAAAGCAAAAAAAAAAATAAAGAAACACAGAAGAGAACGAGAATGGAAGTGAATTATTTGTAGTTAAGTCTGGCTGGAATATATAGCATGGGAAGGGAAGCAGTGTAATAAAAGTCTAGAAAGGGAGATTGGTGATGGCTTGAATGACAAGATAATAAGGACATTACACTTCACTTAGCATTAGGGAACCATACAATTTTGTGAATAGAGGAGTAACAGTTATCAATGTGAAGAATGTGTAAGAGAAAGTGCTGTAGAAAAGTGAAGTTAGCCAACTATTAAGAGTGTTCAGTATTTAGTAAATATATTTTGTGGGTATGTAATCAATGTTAATGAAAATTAATTTAACAGTGTAAATTGCACCCAATTTCTCACAGAGAACCCTAAACATTTCTCTCTATATATCTTCCTGAAACTTTTTCTTCCCACTCTTCAACAACTCTGGATAATTTTCTATGACAGTTGGCCTGATCTATTTACTTCTTTATTTTCCATCATTTATGGTCTCTTCATAGTAAATAGGTTGTGACCTTAGCTTTCTAACTATTTTTTAATGGGCTCAGGGATTCCATAATACATGCACAATTCTTACACAATTAACACAATCTCCTGTATAACCTATTCTACCCAGGATCAGTAAGCCTAGATGAGTTTTCTAAAAAAAAAGTTTCCTTTTTTTTTTCCTCCAAAACTGATTGAGAGCTCAGAGTATGGTAGAGTGGGGAACAGAGCTGGATTTGGAATTAGAGGGGTTGGATTGAATTGTGGCTCTGCAATTTACTACCTGAGACAACTCACTTAATGTCTCTGAGCTTGAGTTTCCTCTTCTGTCAAATGAAAGCGTTGGACTAAACGACCCTTTAGGTCCCTTCCAGTTCTAAATCTATGAATCTATGATTGATTCATTGAAGGAGTAGTGATGGTTTTACATTTATATTCACATCCCCATAAAAAGAAAAAGGTGCCAATTCCGCTTCATTTTTTTTAGTGGCAGAGTTTACCACATTGAGGCTAAATACCTAAATCTCCTGAATCACAGAAGATCAGGGGTCTTCCTAATGTACCTCTCTGTTGTGAGTACCTTTCTTTGGATTTTTCCAAAGGAAATAAGCAAAACCCTATTATCAATCCTCAATCTTTCCTTCCTTTCCTCTTTACCCCTGACTCCCTCCCTCCATTCCTTCCACGTACTCTCTTTGAAGGAAGGATCTAGGTCCATAACTTTTCCGGTTCAGCCTCTTCTAGTAGAAGTGACTAATTCTATTGGGCAAACCTTGTGGCCACTCATTCTCCAGGCCACAAAATTATTAAGGAGTTTGAGAGCTTCCTTTTCAGTCCAGTTATTGTCTGCCACCTTATAGGGTAGTCTTAGAAACCTTGTTGCTCCTGGTGATTACCCTTGGTAATCTCCATTGGGGATATTCTGAACAAAGTGATCAGCAAGCCCTCTCCTAATTACTATATTTCATAATCTTGACAGGGCGCACTCTGTTGGAAAAGCTGTTTAGCCAGCAAGAGAACGCACCACCAGAAGAAGCAGAGAAATTTTGTTCTCGGATTATTGCGATGGGTCTTCTACTTCCTTTCAGCGACTGCTTCAGGGAGCAGTGTAACCAGAGTGCCCAGCAAAGCTCAGCTCCATTTGATGTAAGTCATGGAATTTATCCGTGCTTGTATTCCAGGCGGCAGAAATGGTATCTTTGATCTGTAATACTCTCTAATCACCCTATATACTCTGAAACAGAAAATCATACATGCTGCCCTTCCCCAGTGTCTCTCAGTAGGGTTTCTGAAATGAACTAAGTATGTTCCAGGTTTTCACATTTTTCCCCTTTATGGTTGCTTTTTAATCTGTCAAACTTCCTTTGCTTAGCTGATCATTTTCTAGCCTGCATCTCAGTCACTGATGAGTGTATTGACCAGATAAGTCAGCTTTCTTGGCTTTGCAGGACTTAGATATACATTCTTCCAGCTGCATATTAGCAAATAATATCCTTCCTATGATTCAGCTGATGCTATTCCACAGGGTGAGACTTGTTCCCACTGAGCCTGGGTTTCCATGAACCCTTGGATACTACATCGATACATTTTGTAACTCATTTATGTATTTAAATAATCACACGAAGAGCTTCATTGTTTATTCCCTACCTGCTGATAATCAAGAAAGTTAATGCCCCAGGAAAGCAATTCAAAAGTCATAGTCATCATTATTAAGAACATCAGCACAACTGGATTGTTTTAAAGAAAAAAGATATCACTCATCTTTCTCAGAGGTATGTTATTTGTGTGACGTACTGGCTTCAATGGGATCACATTTGAGAATAAACGTATAAGAAATCCTGTCAGAAATGGCTTAGTGGATAATCAACTCAGCTGGATAGAGCTCAGTGCTAAAAAGGACAAAATCATGACATTAATTTCATATTCAGTTCCAAGACTGTTTCGCCAGCTAACCCTGGCACTGACTCTTAAAGGTAGGTATGCTCTTTGTTAGTAGTAAGGAGTTTTAGGAAGAAATGTATAGTGCTTGCAGGGAGAAGTGTTATGGAATAAGAGGAAATGTTTTGTTTCTTTTTTTCCTTTCCTTCTGTGGGCCACAGAAATCCTTGTTCTCGCTCAATTTCTGTTCAGAACTTGCACTAAAATGGGTCAGCGGCTAAACAGGCTATTTTGTCACCTTCTGGCTGCTTTCCTTCTGAGAGAAGTTTCCCCGGGATGTTCAGTAACTTGTGAAGCCTTCTTCTCGAGGCTATTCTTTTGTCTCTCTTCAAAGCTTCTGAGTGTTCTTTTTGTACAGGGACATGTCAGCTGACCATTGCTGGCTGGGTTTGTTCAGCACCATAAAAATAGTTCCTCTCGCCTATAGGAGCAATTGGATAAATCTGAGCCTTTCCCCTCTGTCTCCTCTGACAGAGGTGTGAGTCATCATAGAGACGGAACTTGAGGAGCATAATAAGCAGGGTGAAGACAGTGTTTATTTCCTCTCCCTTCGAGTTTTGAAGCTTTTAAAGCCAATCACTAAAAGAAATTGGATCTTGGCAAGTCAGGAGAGACCTCTGATAAACAGAAATGCAGAAATCTGTTGTTTATAGCCCGTGTTCAGCATCTGCCTTAGCTTGTCTCTGTTCCCAAGGCAATTTATACTCTTTACCATGAAGCTCAGAAGCAAATCACATGAAGGAACGGGGGGGGGGGGGGGGGGGGGGGGGGTGGGAAAGAGGAGGTAACCAGATCAGAGTAACTGTCTCTCTCACTTCTATTTCTTCTTTTTATTTATTTGCTGGAGGAGACAGCCTCCCTCCCCTACCCCTCAATGCTGCCTCCCATCCAGCCATATCCTGATTCAGTGAGGGATTATATATCTGCCTTTGGGCCAGCTTTGCTCATTTGGAAGAGGACTTATCACCTTGTTGGTCATAGTGTGATGAACTTTTCAGGTATAGCAATTCTCCTCTACTAAGTTATGGAGGGGTTGCAATCTGCATTGCAATACCCACACTGATGAAATTACAGATACTTGAAGCATATATTTGGGAAGACTAGTTTCTTTTACTCTGTTGATGATGTTAGAGTACAGTTCTGCCAGCCCTCCCCCCAAAAAAAAACCAAAACCTGTCATTCCAGCAACTTAGGGAGGAATTTTTTTTCAAGGAGGGAATCAGTTTCCCATTTTTCTCCAGTTTTTTAGGAAAAAAAACCCTGCTTTTTCCTACCCTTCTCCTGAAAAACAAACAAAAATATCTCAAGTGAGAAAAAAAATTGAAAATGAGAAAAAAAAAGCAAGTCAGGAGAGAAGTTAACAAAAGAAAGAAAGAAAGGAAAGCTTTTTTAAAATAGTTTTTATTAATTTATTTTGATTTATCAATAATCACTTCCATATGCTTTTGAGTTTAAAATTTTTTTCCCTCTTCCTCCCTACCACCTTCCCCAATATGGCACACAATCTGATATGGGTTATACAAATACATTCCTATTAAACATATTTTCACATTAGTGATGTTGTAAGTAAGAATTAGAACCAATAGGAGGAACATCCAGAAAGAAGAAACAGAACTCAACAGAAGAGGAAAAAAAATAGCAAATAGTATGCTTCGATCTGCATTCAAATTCCATAGTTCTTTCTTTGGATGTGGATAGCATTTTCCATCACAAGGCCTTTGGAGATGTCTTAGATCCTTGTTTTGCTGGGAAGGGTTGAGTTTATCTATATTAGTCATCATACAATGTGGCTGTTATTGTGTACAACGTTCTCTTGGTTCTGCTCACTTCACTCAGCATCAGACCATACAAGTCTTTCCAGGTTTTTCTGAAGACAACCTGTTCATCATTTCTTATTGCACAATAGTATTCCATTATATTCATACACCACAACTTGCTCAGTCATTCCACAATTGATGGGCATCCTCTCAATTTCCAATTCTTTGCTACCACAAAAAGAGCTGCTATGAATATTTTTGTACATGTTGGTCCTTTTCTCATTTGTATGATCTCTTTGGGATACAGCCCTAGAAGTGCTATTGTTGTGTCAAAGGGTATGCACATTTTTATAGCCCTTTGGGCATAGTTCCAAATTGCTCTCCAAAATGGTTGGATCATTTCACAACTCCACCAGCAATGCATTAGTGTTCCAATTTTCCCACATCTTCTCCAACATTTATCATTTTCTTGTTTTGTCACCTTGGCCAATCTGATAGGTGTGATGTGGTACCTCAGAGTTGTTTTGATTTGTATTTCTCTAATCAATAGTGATTTAGAGCATTTTATCATATGAAAAGCAAAGCTTTAATAAGCCTTTGTAGAACTTTGACTGTTAGTAATCAAAAGATGGGTCACTCAAAGAAGTTTGTACTTTGTTCAAAGAAATATTAGGATCACTAGAAATTTAAGGGGTCTGAGGTGTTCAAAGGGGACTAGTATTGAATATATCTGTTGTCAATGAAAGAAAAAGTTTCATCCGTGTTACCAAATAGCTGTTGGGAGGACGTCAGACTCTGCATACACATCTAAGAGGGTCGGTCACTGACAGGATTAAAAAAAAATGGCTGCAGCTCTTCCTTTTCCTTGGTGTTCTTCCATAGCAATGTTAATTTCTTTTCCTTTTGCTTCTCCTAAATCTTCTCAAAGATATTTAATGCAAATATTTGGAAAAGCCAAACATTTGCCTTATGATTTCTGAGTTGTGGTCATTTGGCATAGCTTAGATGCACAGTTTATTCACTAGAATGAGTCTTTTATTTCAAATACTCATGTTGACAAAAATCACAGAGACTTCCATTTCTGTTTATGATCTGTAAGTGGAAACATGAGAAGTGTCCCTTTCTTCTCTATCAATGAAAACCTTTTTTTAATTTTCAAAATTGTAAAAGAATAAATTGCTAAGAACTCTTGCTAGGACTTAGTTGGGACCTAATAAATGCTTCTTGATTGATCACAACTCATTTCAGGAGGAGGAAAAAAATAATTTAATGTCTGTGATACGTAGAAAAAAGTGCCCTTTCAGCTAAATGAAACTATGTCCATATTCTGGAAGCCACTAAATTTATTACCCATAAAATAATTCAGTAACTAAAGAGTCAAAAAATAAAGATATAAAATTAAGACATAAAGCACAATCCTTAAATTGATCTTTAAAAAAAAATTATTGTTTAATAGAGTTAATTTATTGTTTTATCCATTCTTTTTGTCATACTCTTTCTTTTTATGTTATTAGTAGATTCCAGATGCAACCACATAATTTCTTCCTCTTTTTCATGTAATTGTCATATCTAACTCCTTCACTTATGAAAAAAACTCTAAAATAAAAGTGCTTCAAAGCTAGTAGGAGCAAAGTCTGGGATTTTGCACGGGGCTTAGACTCTGCAACTTGTACAATAGAGTTGTAGGCCATGGAAGATATTTTGTGGCCTGTCAGGGAAAGGATGTTTTATTTTGTTTTGTTTTAAATCATTGTAGGCAGCCTTTCGCATTTGGCATCATGAATTTGAAATGGTTTGCAAACCCTAAAGCACTGTATAAATGTGAGCTTTAATTTAGTCATTATTTTTCTGGAAAACCTGCTTTCTCTCTTAACTTCCTTATTTCTGACAGTGGTATCTCATTCACCCAAACAGCAAGCATTCATTAATCATTAGAGTTAGTAATAAATGGTAGGGATGCAAAGACAGAAGCAAAATATCCTCTGCCCTCAAGGAGCTTGCACTGTATTGTGGGAAATAGCATGTATACAAAGGAGTAGGAAGCTGACATATTCTTAATATACTTGTAATATATAATAATATTTTACTCCTACAATTGTATCACATATACCTATATATGTATACTTTTAATATTTATAATATCATACTTATAGTATATTACATATTATAATGTATTATATTACACTGTATTAGAATCATTATTAGGATAGATTCCAAAATATAATATTATATTATTATAAGTAATTATAAGTATTATACTATAGTTTAACAATATGATATATACATAATCTATGTCATATATATACTTAAAGTTACAGTCTTTAAGCACAGAGACTAGTGGGAAGAAGGAAGGATATGGATATAGGTCAAGAAGAAAACAGCAGTTTGAAGCAACTGAGGCAGTAGTTGGAGAAGCTAGAGATGGAGCAAGACTGTTGGACTCCATCCTTA